TAAGCCATTTCAGACTTGTCTTTTCTCATGACAATTCTGAGAAAAGAGAGCAAGCATTTAAGCAGATAACACCAATTGCTAGTAGAATATGCTAATGTCATCTTATAATGCCAACCGTAATAATTTAGTTTCTCATACAGTCAATTTCTGTTCAGCGTTGTGTCCGAATGTATATAATAAACAGCCACAGGGAAGCTGGGGAAACAATCTGAATGCAGTTTTTAAATCTTCCTGTATTATTTTTTCCTAAAAGTTGACTTTGGTATTAGCAGGCTAGCAGCACTGCATACAAATCGGACGTTAGCATTAGGTGCATCTCCAGTTTTAAGTGCACAGATTGAACAGCTTGTGCTTTATTTTTGGGCTCTGACTTTAGAAATCTGTTGAAAGAAGGCAGGACTCTGCTGGCTCATGGAAACACTGGCAGGTTAAAGCATGGGAGCGGGTTTTATCCCATGTTGTTACCACACACCGACTAGCTAAGCTACAGCTACTGGCACCACTCCACCACACACACTACAACTACAACTTAGAGATGAGGGGAATGAGGGTGTGAATCACATCTCTACAGGTCGATTTCCTCCTGGAATTATAAAACCACCCTCCAACTTAGAGTGATAAGTAAAATAACGGTGGTCCGCTTTCCCAGGGCGGCTAACTACTCGCCAAGTCGTCGCTTGGGCCGCGGGTCAGATGCCGTCACTCTGGGGAGCCGGGGGTAAAACGGAGGAGTCAACACCATAAATAACAGAAACAAACAAAAAAAAGAGGGGGAAAAAAAGCAGCCGTTAATGGAGAGAGAAATCTTTTGGTGAGTGAACTTGAGAATGAAATGAGTAGCTACTGCTGCGATGAGAGACACACAACAGGCATCGTAACTGCAAACAGACAGAGGAGGGTCATCTCTGATTGGTCAGAAACCTAAAGGCACTAAATGATTTCTGCAGTTTAGCCCAAAAATATCCACACCCACAGACGGATGTTTTACTTTTAAATCTAAGGTGAATGTTTAGTTTGCTGATGGCTTCGATTTGGCTTCCAGAGGCAAGTGACAACAGCAAAGCAGAATTTAATCACAAATCTGTCATCGATTGCAAAAGTAGTGTCATTTTGAACATATTCTTCATTAACATGTTTTTCTATAAGAACAACACGTTACCCCCGTTTTACTGGTTTTTGTCACTTGTTTGGAACCAGCCAGATAAAGCCGGTTTGCCAAACAAAAAATCCACTTCAGTTTAAGTGTGAATAATTTTGGACAAAGTGACTGAACATCTGTGAAAATGCGGAAAATGAGGAACGATTTGTTGAGGTGCTAGCATGAAGCGGCTGAGAGAGCACTAAGCAGAACTACAGCTGGTACAGATGCAGTTTAATGGGATGAGCTGCACTATGGGATTTTACAGAGCCCCTTTCAGACATGCAAACCTCTGTGGTAGCACCTTCATTTAAGAGCTTATAGACGTTCAATGCTGAGGTTCTAGATCTCTGATTTCAGCAGAACAATGTCTTCAAGACCTACATTTGTCGTCTCTTTGTCAAAGCTAAGATCTTGATTGCATATTGTTAAGTATGATTAAAATATTGTAAAATCAAGGTATAACTAGTTGTGCACAGCTCACAAAACTATATTATGTGTTGAACATGTAAAAAGTCTGGATTTTTCCACATTTTTACAGGTTTTCATAGTGAAAAAGAGACTTGGCTACAACAATACGCCGAGAGCAGCTGAAACAGCCGTCATTAAATTTTAAAACGATCGAAGCACTGATAAGATCATGAGGCAGACCAGAAGAGTTTTCTCCTCATGCAACCTATTAAAACGGCACAGAAATATGATGCAAAATAAATGATCAACAAGTCGTATGAAAACAGAGAGAAAACTTGCTAGCATTAGCCTAGCAAGCTGTTCCATAAGAAAACATTGTAAAAAAGGAGTTTACTGAAGACAGAAGCTGTGCTTCCATTACAAATGTGCACAAATCTTTGCCTGTATCCTGCCAACACAATTTTGCCATTATGGTTTTTCCATTTAGTAAGACATTAAGTTAAAATGTTGGAGGTATTTTTTAGCTGGAGATGCATCTTTTGCTACAAATTATTAAGCATTCACAAAAGGAATGCTATGCTATTGCTATTTAAGGCAATAAAATGTTTTTTTTTTTTAACTTAAAACATAACATTCTCATTTTGTATGCACTTCTAATATTGTATAAAATAAGCTGAAGTAGTTAAAAGAAAAATCTGCTGAATGTGCCAATTTTTCTTGTACGATTAATCGACAAATCACAAAAATAATGGGCAGAATAATCAATCACTAAAATAATCAGTTGCAGCCATAAAAGTTTGTTTAGGAATTTGACAAACTAAGCAGCGCGGTTCCAACAAACAGGAGAGGAGGCTGGATAAGTGGCGCCACACCTACAGGAAGTTACAAAGACCGTGTCTGAAAGGGGCTCCTGCGTGATGGAGGTGACAGTTCCCACTCAGGTCCGCCATTACAGGACCAACAAAACTCCACAGAGGCTTTTTAACGTGTGATGGGCTCCAAAACTGCAACAGCTACAAGCGATGAAGATGGCAGCCAGAGGCCCGCTAACCGGGAGATGTTTCTTCATGAGTTTGAAGTCCACAACAAACCAAACCCACCAACAACAGAGTGTGTGAAATCAAGAGGAAAGAGAGAGGAGTCTTAATGTTAAGTCGGGAACTGTCAACAGTTTTCCACAGCACTTTCCATGCATCCCCTTCTAACAGTCGTGGCTCAAGAGACAGGTGTGACAGTGTGGGGGTGGGGGAAGTAAAGGGGCGGGGCTAGTCACCAGGGGCTGCGTCTGCTGCTTGAGCTCCTCCAGATGCTCTAATATATTCTTCTTTGTGATGATGCCCAACACATTCCTGAAACACACACCCGTTACTCGGTACACTGCCCACAACAACAAATAAAACAACAAAAAACAACAGCAGAGACACAAAAAGAACAAACAGCAGCAGCACAAATCATACAAATAAATAACAGAAACAAAATGAGGTAAAAGTAAAATGTAAACTGAAAATTACACAACTGAAAATTAAACAATAAACCACAAAAATGTGACTTTTCATTTGTGATAATGAAGTGTTAATAAATGGTGATGAATGGCAGTGATATTTTAGATTTTTCTGTCAATAAAACCAATAAGACCAAAACCAGCAGACTGATGTAAATCAATGAGTGGACAATAAAGGTTATTTCACAACAGAAGCCTGCTGTAAAACAGCAAGTATGCCGTTTTCTTTTGAACCATCTTTGATTTCTTTTAATTTTTTCCTCTTTAAAAAAATTAAATAAATAAACCTTGTAATTTGAGAAAATGGTAAATGGAGCCAATTCATTTCTATTTACATGCAATTTAGTTTTGCTCCTTTTATCTACCTAAAACGAATATCGTAACAAGGCTCAGCAAAGATGCATTTCATAAATTTTTATTCATAAAACATAAAATCCACACCTTAATTCCTACATAACTATGCACAACTTTGTGTTTATTTATCAAATTAAAACCCTTTCAACTTTGAGGTTACAATTTCACAAAGGGGTAAGAATACTTTGTCACTGTAAGAATTGAAAGACATGTTTGTTTTGGTCTTTTTCTAAAGAATTATTGACAATAAAAGTACAAAATATCACCAACTTATGATTAAAAACTAAAGTAAAATACTAAAAAAAAAATAACAGAAAAAAAAACTGCTGCTCTGTTCCTCTCATACAGTTATCACAGCAAACTCAGAGCTCATCTGATAAATGAACTATAATCAAGCACAACTTCTCCTTCCCACCAGCAGAGAGCGCTCTGCAAAACCAACTCCTTCAAAACGTGGACGATGATAAATAAAACGCTGGTGGTTCCGGTCGTTGAAAGAACAGCCAGAACATCCTTACATCTTGACCATGATGTTTTGGGTTGTTTTTTTTTTTTAATTCCTGTTGCACAGCAACAAGTTTCACTAACTCTTTAGTCCCAAAACGTCACCTGTTGTGTTTGTGCAGTTAGTTTTTAGTCAGCAGCTCGAGGATTTTGCCTGTTACTGCTCAGTGAGGGGATTAAGGGAGTGCAGCACAGCAGTTAGGCCGAGCCATGCAGAACCTCAGAGGCCATGCAGCACCAGGCAGTGAGTACATGTGCTTCATGGGACACAGCGCCAAACCCTGACTGGTTAAGCAATCCTCCAGGCAGTGGGAGGGAGCGTGGGATGGGGAGACCCCCCCCCCCCTTGCTCTTCGCCAGCTGTGTCCTACTTACCCGTTGTGAGTGACCAGACACTGCCTGAGCCCCAGCTTCCTGAAAATGTCCACCACGATCTCCATCGGGGTGTGGTCGGTGACGGTGAAGGGGCTCATGTCCAGGATGGAGCGCAGCTTGAGGGGCCGGGGGCTGTCGGCTGGCAGGGTGGGTGCATGCTGGGTGAAGTACACCCGCGAGTTCAACATGATGCCCTCCTGCTTGCGGCGAGCGTTTTCTGTCGGGATGAAAGAAAAATAGATTTAGAGCTTCATGTTTTGTCCCAGTTTGGTTATTCAGAGTTTCTTCAGGTTCTCACCTAATCAAATTTAAGACTTTTAAAGACCATTTTGAATTAAATTTAAAGACCTGGACCACGACGGAAAAATATAATAGAAAATCTCATATTTCAGTACTTATATAGATTCTCGGCTGTATAATAGGCAAGTCTGGTGCCACTGTGTTTAAGATGGCAATAAATTTGGACTTAAACCATGATAGACCCAAGCTGGCTAGCTAGTAAGGGTATATTAGCAGCTAGTTAGCGGTAGCATGAACAGAATGTCAAAGATGACAGCAAAGTCTCGAGACAAAAAAAAAAATATTTCCTTAAATAGTCCTGCTGCAGCAAAATTCAAGACCTGGATATAAGGTATTTAAGAGCAACTTACATTTTTTAAAATTAATTTAGGACATTTTGAGGCGTCAATTTATATACATCAATTTCAGACTTTTTAAGGATGCACAAACACCCTGTTATTTAACATTTTAACAACATTTTCTTTAACTTATGATCTTCTTCTGTGGTTTTACCTATAGCAATAGTGATGTCCCTGCGCAGAGCGAAGCCCACCAGTCTCTGCGACTCCTTGGACACGATCACTGGGAAACCATTATAACTGGTTTCATTGATGACGCCCTGCAGCTCCTCGACCGTCAGGTCGTCCTGCGTCAGCACCGCCAGCGGCGGGTCGCTGCTCCGGGGCCTCATCACGTCTCTGGCCAGCGTGGTGTGCGTGAACTCCTCCTTGGCATCCAGGAAGGGGTATCCGTTCAGACGGATGTGGGCCTCGTAGATTCCCTCGCGGCCGAATGCGTCGCCCACCCATTTGCTGGTCATGACGGCGGCCATGAGGGGGACGATGTACTCCAGGCCGCCGGTCAGTTCGAAGACGATGACCACCAGGGAGACAGTCATACGGGTCACGCCACCTACGGGGCAGAGGACGCACGTTTAAAAGCCAAATCTAATCGGAATACGACAGAATATAACTTTCACTGTGACTTAAACTCTCATTAAGCTGCTTTTAGACTGAGTTTATAATGTGGCAAAATATAAAGAAACCCAAGTTTTATTAATAATTTTCCAACACTATGTAATTATGCACAAGAGTGGAGTTGGGCTGCATTCACACAGCAGGTTTTTTTTGCATAGTTGTTCATACTACTGACTGATGCGACAGCTTTTAGATTTCTGTGTGAACGGTTTTGGACCCCAAAGCCACGTCCCACAGCAGCACCTTATAATAACGGATGCTGCCGTCTACGGAGCGACTTTAAAGTTTATCCAACACAAGGGAGAACCAGCAGCGATTAAATGGTGATAGGATCCACTTCATTGGAACACATTTCATTCATAATGTCATAATTCAGATTTTTTTTTTTCAGCCATTGTTTACGTCTGGTACGGCTTCTTCTGGCGTAAAATGATGATGCATATCAATGACGTAAAAGTCAGAGTAAATGGGACACGACTGGACCTACTGCAAACACTTTGGAAAAAATTGGATATGTATCCAATCTAGTTCCAAATATAGAAGTGGCACATATCTGATTTTTTTAGAGGTTGAAAATATCGGAATTGCGTCGTTCAGACTGAAGAGTCGGATATGGGACGCATGTGGGCAGAAATATCCAATTTGCATTCACCTGCTGTGTGAACGCAGCCTTAGATAACTTAAACCATCTCTAATACATAAAACTTAAAGGAATCTTTCCTTAGTAATATTAACTTTAAAGAAAAAAAGGCGGTCTAAATCTGGCAGTGGTCCACCGACGTACTCTTGGGTTACCCACCCAAACACGCTGCGGCCCCCACCATGGCGTAGAGGCCCGGAGTGATGCAGTCGGCTCCGACCTCGCACCACTCTTTGAACAGGAACCAGTCGTGGTGGTAATACGCCAGCTGCTCCATGGCGATGCCGACAATTCGCCCTGCGATTGCTCCAATGGCCATGCTGGGGATGAACAAGCCCGACGGTACCTAAAGAACGAGACCCAGCGAGGGGGTTCAGGTGACGTTACAGGTTCAGGCCGGAAAAAACATTGACTTCCTGTAGGGAAAACATCCTGCAGTGGATCACCTTCAGTCCAAATGTGAATATAGTCATGATGATTTTAAAGATGAGCGCCAGGCAGAGCTGCCACATGGCTGAGTAGACGCCCGGCTCCGCTGGCTGGTTTGGGTCGTCCGTGTAAGCGGTGCTGCCGTTCATCTGGCTGCGGTACTGGCACAGCTGGGAGGATTCCAGCGGGCCGCAGTCAGTGAACAGCTCTTTGATCAGCTCACTGGTGTTCTGACGGGTGTAGGGGTTGGGGAAAGCAACCACCGCTGTTATGGCGGCCACCAGGATCACCTCCAATACTGGGTACTTCCCTAAAGAGGGAGACAACAGCGTCAGAGTAGAAAACATATAATACTCTTCACACAGTCTGAAGTCTAAACTTTCTGAGTTTAGAGAAAAACTGGTTTGAGGTGACCTGTGGCATTTTAAGGCCGTTTTTAAAATTTTTTTAAATGGCCTTAAGACTACTGAAGGATGCATAGACACCATGTCAACACACCGAAGCGCGTGGACTTGCGTCTCCGGCACCAGGCGATGTTGGCTCGGATGAAGAAGGCGCCCCAGAGTCCTCCGAACACGCCCAGAAGGATGAAGGGGATAAGCTCAAAGAGGTACCAGGGAGTGTGGTACTCCACGTAGAACAGCACCAGGCGGCTGTTACCGAAGGGGTTGATGGAGCGCAGCACGAAGGCCGCCACCAGGGCGGCGAAGAAAGAGCGCCACAGGGTCTTCAGAGGAAAGTAGTAGCTCACCTGTGGGAAGAGAACCCAGTGTGGAGGGTTCAAGTTTGGCGTCGGGATTCAAAAGCAGAAAAAAACGACACTGAAGAGCTGACCTACCTCTTCCAAGCTGAACAGAACTCCTCCAATCGGTGCTCCGAAAGCTACAGAGACCCCAGCAGCCGACGCGGCCGACAGAACCTGAGAGAGTTGAACTCTAAGTTTCTACGCACCACAAGTCTGGAACAAACTACCAGAAAACTGCAAAGACGCTGAAACGCTGAGTTCCTTTAAATCAAACACCGAACGTCTGCTCCCTCACCTCTCGCTTCTTGGCCTCGTTCTTGCTGTACTTGGGGAAGAGGTAGGAGAAGATGTTCCCGCAGCAGCAGGCCACATGGACCAGGGGGCCCTCCTTCCCCAGGCTGAGCCCCGACGCCACCGCCAGCACCAGAGTGATGGTCTTAATCATCAGGGTCCACTTACCCAAGTAGCCCCGGATGATGAACCCACTCAGGATTGTCTTGATCTGTGTGCAGAAAAGAGCAGGATGGGAGAGGTGAAGCTGAACATTTTGGTTTTGCATTTCACTGCTACTTACTGTGGTAAACTTAATTAAAACAAACTCAAAAGAAAAACAACTAGTAAAAGAAAACTGTTATTTTAGAGTTTTCTGCAGGTTTCAGCAAGTCAAACTTAAGACGTCAAGACCTTTAATACCATCTTCAATGAAATTTAAGACCCCATAAGACAATAAACGTAAGGGATGGATGGGAGGACTTGCTGCTTTGTGCTTCTCACACTGCATACAGCTCTCTACAGCTTTGAGCCCCGTGGTCCCAACGTTAAAAGTTCTTTTGAACCCAGTCTTGTATGGGTTGGCAAAAAAAAAAAAAAAAAACGTCGTCCAGTCAACCGGCGATAAATTTTCACTTTCCCATGACATACGACAAAAAGCTAGCTTGCCAGCAAAGGTACACTAGCGGCTAGTTAGCGATAGCTGCAACTTCCTCAATTAACAGAAAAATCTAGCAAAAGGTCCTGCCACAACAAACTTAAGACTTGTGATTTACATATTTAAGACCAACTCACTTTAAAAAAAAATCTCTTAAAGCCTTATTTTAGACACACAAATTTATGACTTTTTAAGGACCCTAAATTATCACCCACACAAAACAGCCTAATGTGCGAAACACTAAGAGATGTGCTCATAAAAACCTCCCCAACTTGCTTCAACTTAAGAAAAGAAAAATAGGTAACTGTGTGAAATACAGCAGGGGAAAGTCTGAACCGTGTTTTCGTAAAGAGATTCAAACAGTTCTCCTCACCTCTGGGATTCCTGAGCCGCAGGCATACGGAGCAAAAACCTTGACCAGACAGACGGCCAGTAAGGCGAAGGACAGAGCCCAGTAGATGTACATGAAGTAGTTCATGATGTAAGAGCCGGGGCCCTGCAGCGAGAGGGGTCATGACCTGAAAACGCTTTCACCACATGCACACAATTGTACAGAAAAATAATCTCCACTTCTGGGTTCAAATCTCAGTGTGAAAAGTTTTTTTAATAGTTAAATATCCCAAAAACATCAAAAGCAGGTAACTGGCTTTAAAACTCCACTGTGATGGAGTGAATCTTCACATTTTTTGCTATGATAGCAAAGCTGAACTGAGCAAACACATACTGCTTATGGTGAGACTTTCAGCTGCTTCCATTCACTACTTGTAAAAATGGAATGCTATTTAAACGATATATTTGCCCTTTAAGACACATAAATTATACATTTTAGGTATAAAAGAAGACCGGTCCATCAGTCTACCTCAGCCTGTCCCAATATTAGTTCGGCCCAGCTCTTCCACTGAGGACACTTGTCCCTCTCAGCGAAGGTGGTCTCATTGGACGTCCAGCAGCACTGCTCATGGTTGAACCACATGGCGCTCAGACAAACGCCTTCCTTCAGGTCATTCATCCAATCAGCAGCAATGTCAATCAGGCCAGCCAAAGCACCTGGCGGAGGGACAGAGACCGGAAGGAGGAAGTCGGGAGAGAAGACGGAGGCAGGGAGGAGACAGAAAGCAGGACGAGGGGAAAAAATGAAAATAAAAAGAGGAATGACGAGAAAGTTAGTTTGCCTGTTTTTAATGCAGACACAGGCTACAAAAATGATCGGCGACTCAGAATGCTTCATCACAAAATCCTAAACCAAAGCAGACAGTCTTTGGTTTAACGTGACGTTGCATTAGATTTGGTGATTTTCTGAAACTGTTCCACAGTTTTAGCTGTTGATGAATACTACCACTAGTCCTTCAAGAAATAAAAACATTTCACCAGAGGATGCAGCGTTTGTACGCAAACTACTGGATAATTTTTCCACATTTTGTCATATTGCAGTCAGACTTCAATTCAATTTCATTGGGACTTTTGGTGGTTCACCAACAGAAAGTACAGTGTAAATATACAGTAAAAAGAAAACGACACATGGTTTTCAAAATCCTTTAAAGAAAAAAAATTCTCAAAACGTTTATGTTTAACCCCATTTACTCCTTGGATACCAGAATACAATCAAATTCAGCCCATTTCCTTCTGAAATCATGTAATAAAGGAGTAATCCCATGAATCCAGCCGTCATGTGAGCAACACCAAAAATCATCATGAGGAACAAGGAACACGAGTTTTAAAAAGAAGAAAAGAAGAAAAGAAGCAAACATCTCAAATTTCTGACTTGGAGGGGTGAATACAAATGAACGCCACACTTTTCAGATTTTTATTTGTCAAGCATTTGTTTTAAAACCATGCATCATTTTCTTTCGACTTTAAAATTGCGTTATTGTGCAGTCTTTAAAATTCAATCTTGAGGAACAAACAACCTGCCGCGACAAAATGTAATTCATATTTTTGAAAGGAGTTAGATGAAACGCTATCCAACACCAAATTAAACACAAATAAAGCAGACACATTTTTATTTTTCAGCAGCTGGATTGTTGTTTAAAGCAAAGACTGGCGGCAAGGTGTCCCCGTTTTTTTTTTTTTTTTTTTTTTTTTTTTTTGGCAAACAGTAAGTGGCTGGATTGTGTCTGGCGATGCTCTGCAGAACGCCAGTGAGAAGTGAGATCAGAAGATAAGGGGGGGAAAACGGCAGAGGGTGCCTCGGGCGGAGCATGTGAGAGTCACCAGCGCAGGAGATGCGGGCCGTCCGATTTGTCGTTCGGAGAGTTGGTTACCTGATGCCAAGCCGGTGAGCGTCACGACCAGCCACCCAGACCAGGCGTCGTACAGGCTCTTGGTGAACTCCCATGCCGACTCTTTCTTCTTGCTGTTGATCTGTGCAGACACAATGAGGCAAATCAAACCCAATTAAAAGGCATAAAGAACCGGAAAACAAACAAACAAACAAAAAAAAAAACACAGACTGATATGAAAGACTCCGGTCTGAAGCAGCTCTGTAATCTGCTGCAGGTTTTCTGGCCTGATTTCCACTGTTGATTTAATGAAGCGGTTTTACTACAGCACTTCCTGTACACCAGGCGCGACCGGGTCATAAAAAACAAAGTATTCAAATATCATTTAAAGTCTTATCAGCATCCAAACGTCCTGCAGTGAAGTATGCGTGGAGAGATTGCCAAGACAGCGAGTCAATATTTGAGCAAAAACAAAGAGGCAGGAGGAAGAACGGTGCGTTCATGAGAGGTTAGAGTAAGAAAGTGTTGATTTAAACTGGGGTGAAAGCAGAGATAACAAAAAAATCCCCACATAAAATCTAGACGATGAAGTGAATGTGTTTGTTTTGGTTGTTTTTGCAAGTTTTAGTAGAATTTGAGGCTTTTATTATGACATGCAGTATGTTACATTTTTTACACATTTTGTTATACTACACACAAATATGTCATTATGATCATTTGGATTTTTTTTGAGTGCTTGCAAATTTATTAAAGATAGAAGCTCCTCAAAAAAAAAAAAACAAAAAAAAAAACGGCTGCAGTTACAGCCCCAAATCTTTTTGAATAGGAAGCCCCGGTCTTAGCTCACCTGTCCTTTACACAACACATTTGAACTTTTTAGGATGTTGCAGAAATGTTGCATTTCCATTTTTTTTTGTTTTTTTGTTTTGTTTTTTGCAACAGTTTGGCCATGTTTAAAAAGTAACTTCATTTGACATTTTAACCCACAATATCATGTCCTCATTTTGATCCGGGCTTTGTAAAGTGGAAATAAATCATCTCTCATGTTTTCCACTTTGTACAGAACCGGTTGGATCTTCTTGAATGTTCTCCGTCTTTATGAAAACGTCTTTTTTTTTACGCGTTCCTCTCGGTGTCCTCACCTTCCTGTGTCTCTCGCGGTCCTTGCACTTCTCGCGCACCCAGTCGATGGTGTGGAAGTCGTCGTACGTTCCCACTCCTGGAATGGGCTCCTCCAGGAAGTCCAACAGATGGGTGGTACTGCTGGCTGCCCCGCCCCCATTAGACATGGCGTAGTTAGAGCCTGCAGAACAACGAAAACAAAAAAAACACAGGGAATAAGAGTTTGTACTAATCCTCATGGCAGTTTCTGTTTGGTTCAGTGGGAAACATTAACACATTAATTGAAAAAAACCTTTCAAAAAAAAAAATAATTATACAGTTTTAAGGCTTTTAAATGAACAATTGCAATTTATTGCATCGATAATAAAAATCCTATATTAAATGTCCACCCCTACAGAATTAAATCATTTCAGTTTCATGTCTTTGCAACGCAGAGAATCAGACATAACTTTCACAAATCCTGACTGAAAAGCCGTCTTGTTGCATTTGACCGCCTAGTTCTGAAGACGCCAAGTATTCATGAGCCACACAAAGACGACGTTGTGTGTTTTACTGAAGGGAGACAACAAAGACGAAGCGAGGCATGTAGCAGGGATTCAACTCGTTTCTCCTGTTTTCAGTGACATCAGCCCCATTCTCATAAATACGGGCGTCCAAGTTCTGATGCGTGACTTTTAAATTTACAGGATGTCGGCCCATTCTTAAAAGGTCTTAAATCCTAAATTTAAAGCCTTAAATTTAGGGTGGGGGGGGTGGGGGGGCAAGGCGGCCCTAAATAAGTCAATCATATCTTAAATTTTGACGTGGCAAGAACATTTTATCTCGTATATTGGATCTAGTTCATTTTTCTGGTGAGATTTTTCTATCAGACAAATATCTGAGTCACCCGCACACATCTTCGCTGCGTTCTGGGACTCAAGATGGTTCAGGCTACTGCTAACTAGCTGCTAACATACCCTTGCTAGCTAGCTAGCTTTTTGCGTCTATCTGGTACAAGTGTAAACTTTCACTTACATTTGGCAGGTTGACATTGACTCACGCACACAAGGTCAGAGGCATATTGTACAAAAAAAGCTTGATATACACAACGCGAATTTCTTTTGTTCATTTCTGTTGTGATACAGGCCTTGAATGTCATTCATAATTGTCTTTAAAAGCCTTAAATCTGAACCCTGACGTAAAGGAGACTAAAACGAACACGGAGTAACGTGATCTTTGAGGTGCGAGATCCAATAAATATGAAATGAACCGATTCATTGAAAAACCTCCTACTGCAGCCGTTTCTTTCATGAGATTCAAAATAAAATCCAATGACATCAATTACCCTTAGAAGTCACTCAATTAGCAAACTGAGTTGAGCTGTGTGTAACTCAACCTCAGCAGAAAGGAAACTGTGCTATGAATACCTCAGAGTGTTATTGGAGAACAAACACAAAGACTTTTTCAGCAGGACAACTATGAGTCGGCTTCGCAAATCTTAAGCGCAAGAAAATCACTGCTACAGAAGCTGATAGAAAAAAAAACTGCAGTGTGGAACGGTTTATATCAAAGCATATTTGTGGTGCTGAAGTGGCCCAGTCAAAGTCCAGACCTGAACCCAACTGAGAATCTGCTGCACAGCTGTGATCAGAGACGGTCTGCATCCAATAAAAAAAATCACATCAGTCATCATGGATGTATTGTGAGAAAGGGCGAAGAAATAGAAGGGGTATTCCTCTTATTAGGCATTCCTGCAGTTTTATCAGGGTAATTACCATCAGAGATATGTTTGTTCATAGCCTTTAATCCCCCCCAATCCGCACTAAACTTAAAAACAAACATAAGCGATTTGAACAAGAGTCATAAAAGTGGCCATAAAGCAGCATCAGAGCAACATGATTCACGGTAATAGGGTGATAGACACGCCACCAACAACGCTCGACTATTCTTCTGCTTCAAAATCGTCCCCGATTTGTATCCTGAGACCAGAAATGAACAGTTATTGGAGAGAAAGTGCATGGAAGTGTCCTGAGCTGCATTTCTGATTTAAAAAAAGGAGGAGAAAACCAAGAATGAAATTAGGATTTTCTGAATTTTGACTTTAAAATATGTACAGAAAATTGGACTGTGTGTCCAATTTTCTGTATAAAAATTTATACAATTTTCCTCTATAAAGTTCTTCTCGAGGAAGAACTTTATAGAGGGAGGGAAAATCTGGGACCTTATATGGAAGAGTATCATCTCTGAGGACTTGGTCGTTGTAGTTTTAAAGTGAAATGAGGTCAACTTCGGGATTAACGCAAACATTTTCACATTAAAGTTTCTCATTTCAAAAGAAACCCGTGTGTGGGAGAGGAGAGGAGAGCGGAGACGATTAGCATCATATTGTTGACGCAACGGTGAAATTATACGGAGTTTAGATTTACTCTGGGAATCTGCACCTGTAAATAAACCTTCTGTACCCAAAACAAGCGACACAGTGGTGTGATATTCTCAGTCCATCAGCAGATTGAAGCTGGTGCTACTACACAGTGATGATCAGGTTTCCTTTGACTCATCATTCAATGTACAGCAGAGTGTTTAGAGGAGTGACTCAAAATATCACAAGTTTAAAAAAAAAAGATACTATCGAGTTCTTATTCTGGAGCAGAGTGCAATTTAAAGTTATTAATCTGAACAAAAACACTTATTAACTCTCAGATTTAATAAAAGAACTAAATTATAATCTGTGTTGTATCCTAGAAGTGTTTGTATATATAAGGAGAATATTCACAGGTTTGTTTATGTAACATTATGTTGTTGTTTTTCTTGTTAAAATGATCTGATGGGCGAATAAGGATTAAATATAATAGTTTATGATTTTAATAAAAGGACAACCTGCTGTATGAATTTTCCAACAAGTAGAAACAACGAGAAACGATAAAATGAATAGCGCTGAACAGGACTCACTTTACAGTGTCCATCAGCAATCCTAATGAAACTCCTGCAATAACAATTCATATTCATGTCCACTCTATTGGAGCTTCACAAATCTCCGTTGATCCTGGAATATGCGAGTATCGCTCAATAAAAAGACGACAAGAATGAACTGATTTCCACTGGATTCTGTATTGTTGGATTATAACTGACACCTTAAAATGATTTCTGTGTAAAACTCCATATTTTTCTTCACTTTTGCTGCACCAGGATGGAAAATTACACCCATCTAAGGAATAAAAAAAATGACCAAAAATACAATATAACAATTTGATACAACAAACTGGGTTGTTTAGAGACCGTGAGCGAAACAGTTTTACGGTTCGAAAAACCACTTTAAAGCAAAAATGACATTTTCTAGTCAAAGAAAAGCCGTCCAAGGGCCGAGATAAATCAGACAAGCTGCTTATGATGATGCTGCACTAACATAAGGCTGAACGAGGAACGTAGTGGTGACGACATGGAAAACAGAGATTGAAGGGGACGGCATCCGCATGTCGTATGCTTTCTACGCTCCAGCAAACACCCAGGCAAAAGGCAGAAACACACACGCAATAATAAGGTTTCAGTTTCTTCCCCGTGTGCAGCAGCAGAGTGACGCTGCAGATTCTGCCTAACAACTGATACGCCGCGTCAGTGAACACAGGGGTTTGCCGACTGTCAATGCCACTTCTCGAAAACGACCGACTGAATGTTGAACGCCAACTGGATTACTAATGTCTAATAAGCGTTGTTGATGTTTCTGTAGCTAAATTGCGGAGGCCTTTCCACCGTCGTGGAGTAAATCAGCTCAGGGAGGTTTTGCAGGCAGCCGGTTAAGACGCTCTGTATCAGCAGGACTGAAGCAGAGCGAGCCTGCCCAGCTGTCATGTGATCGTGGACTGACCCCGACAACCCGACTGAGCCCCAACGAGCCCCCGCTGCCGACCGGCGCCGGCCGGCTCTGCAGAGGAGGACGGGACAGTCGCTGGAGGTTCTGTCTCCATCTCAAAGATACTAAATTATACTTCATCTTTAACCAGATCTTTAATAATCAGGCTTTTCTGACGGACATTTCCAGTTTGCTTTCAAACCTATCAAATCAAATTGGTAAAATAAGTAATGAATACATCACAAATTTTCATAGCAACCATATTTCTAAAGGTGCAATCGACATGAAATTTTCACCAGGTGTTGGTAGCAACAGAGAAACCCCCCCCCCGAAACAAATAAGCTCAGAAATTAAGTTGCGTGTAATAATGTGAAACGACGGGGGAAAAGTACTGAACACAAGCAGAAAGGGAGGTGGAAAAAAGGCATGGAAAGAACAAGAAACCAGCTGAAATCCATCAGGAAACCATCCTGCCTCTCGTCACTACAAACAAATCACCAGCTGGTTCAGTCCAAACTGATGGTCTAAACAATAGTATGTAATTTCTACGGTGTCACGTCAGAAAGCAAAAAAAAAAAAAAGAAAAGAAAAAAAAAGAAAAAACATCTCTCAACCTTATTGTTCCAAAACAATTACTCATTTTACCCGCTATAAGAAAGCAAATGCAGCCATTTTTAAATCAATACGAGATCAAGGATTTAAGCCAGCAAGTTTGATGCAATTAGTGACTGGGAACAAAAAAAGTAATAAGATTTTGAGTATTCGCCCTGCTGCTCACTGACTGGAGATGGTGAAGGGATCACTGATTTTGATCTTTGGCCGATTGATTGGTGCAGATCGATCCTTACCCGTCTTTTCCTGTGGATTTACCACATGGAGACGGGGTGAAGCAGATCTGAGAGGGCGTTCTTGAATAAAGAAATATTACTGAGCGTGAATTCGAGGAACTACATCTGGCGTTTACCAATGATGTACTGTCCACAAATCAAGAAAAGGCCAAAAACTTGGAGGCCAACAACCCCAGAATGACTAAATTACTACAGTTCTGTTTGGCAAAAACCCGACTGAAACTGATTTATTTGCACTGCAGTCTCTGGTGATTTCACTAAAAGGGCAGTAGCAAATAGACAATTTATCTAAGTGAATAGAGAAATAAGACAGAGATATGTTATTGTGTCCTTAACTCTAGGAGTGTTTTGTCTTTGCTCGCTCACTGTGATAATCTATCAGGGCTCAGAGGAACAAAACCTCCCTAAAGGCCACGTATGAAGACCAAGATAAAGCTCCAGGCCTGAAAATGTCACGTTGCCAACCAGAAAACCGACAGCCTGATCCAGCAGAACCAGTTCCATGCG